CCTGTGAACGATGGCCATGTGATGTGAGTATCAGTCACCTGTGAACGATGGCCATGTGATGTGAGTATCAGTCACCTGGAGGCAGGACTTAAAAGCCTGAATTTTGCCTGAAACTCTCAGACTGAAGAAGTCTCTTGGAAGAGAGACGAAACATTTCATTAAAGAAGAACCCGTTCAGAGGACCTATAACATTTTTTTTTCCTTTTGAGCCAGAGTCTGGAGTGAAAAGCTGAAACAAAGGGGGAGGTGATATTATCACCTCTCCGTACTAAGTCCTGATTGATGATTGGTGAGCAGATGTTCTCTTCGGGTTTTAAGGCTGTGTCACACTGCAAGATTTTAAAACAGTCAGCCAATTTTCAAAGACTGATAGAGTCCACATGTGAGGATAAAAAAAATCATAGATATACCAGGTTTGGTCCTACAGTGTGTGGTGTACAGCCACACTGCAAGTGACAACACACCATACACGAAAAGATATTTCATTCATGAACAGTCAGATGTTAGATGTGAAATCACACGAGACTTCTTGAAATCTCATGAGAATTCAGATGTCAGAGGAAAAAAATCTCACGTGACCTCCAGAGAGACATGAGTTCAGAGTAAATACACATTTGTGACGAGGAAGAAACAATAATGATCATTTGTGGACTATTTTTTACCAGAGGAAAAACAATTCTTTTAACATCCAGCAGACCTTCTGGTGAGTCATGTCAGGTTTTTTTTGTCTTCTGTATTTTGGATTCCCCTCCGTGTTTACATCACCTTGCTTTCTGATTGGCTACATGTCTCATTCAACAGGCATCGAGCTTGATTGTATGGCAAGCCTCGGGGATCACAAATCAGATGTATATTTACGCCTTGTTCCAACCTGTAATTTGCGGGCTGTGGCATGTTTTAAGTGCATACGTATTGTGAATCAGAACGCGTGGTGCTGTAAATAACGTGTGGTGGTGTTTTCTGCATATTTTATCATCAAGAGGCTGTCCTGTTAGTGCTCAGCCAGTAGACTTTATGGGGGGTGGTTACACAGACATCGTGCTGTAAGAGACTAGTTGATAAACACAAGGTCTACTTTTTAATGTATCTTTTCATCATTTTAAACATGAAACTATAAAAGGTTAAGCATAGTACATGTAGAAAAGAACTACATCAGGAGAAAAATATTTCTAGATTCCCCAAACACCAGAGATCCTCTGGTTGTATCTGCCATGCAGTGCAGTGATTGGATAAAATGCCCTAAAGTATTTATGGCACCGCACGTTCTAAATCACAACGCATTTGCACGTAAATAACGCAGCAGCCCGCAAATTCTGGGTTAGAATAAGGCGTAAATATATGTCTGATTCGTGATCCCCGAGGCTTGCCATACATTTGTTCATGGTGTGATATTGAGCCAAAAAAACCAAACGTGTTGAATATCTCTGATTTGAGGTCGGAGCGGTCCTGACGTTCTTCCGAGCCAACTAGATACTCACCACCCACGGCAGGAATAAATGCTATGATTATCTTTAGAGCCATCACGATAATCTGGACTTTCTTAAGATTGTCGGAAGGGCCAGAATTCGACACAATTCTCCTGCTGTGTGACGCAGCCCTTAGCAGAGGAAGGCAGAGGTGCAGGACTGTGGGATTGTAAAACAAAGTCCCTGAGACATCATCTCTGTCAGAGTATCCTCATCACAAAGATGTTAGCTTTGCACACATAAGTCAAACATTAATTATTAATTAGAATAAATATACAGGTAGATCCTACACAGTAGAAGGAAACACGCCTAATTCGCATTTCTTTTTTTTCTTTTTGCATTACAGTAGGATAGAAACATGACTAGTGATATGTGTAAAATAGTGAAAATTAGAAGAAAGATTTTACCACAAAGGTTCAACTTAAAGTGGGTTTATCATTTACAATAACTTCTGCCACTTTTTTAAATTGCAACATAGTTTTTGCAGAATTATTGCTTATTTGAGCTTTTCTTTCTACTTTGTGTTTCTGTGTGTGTGACTCGTTAAGAGTGCTGTTGTGTGTGACAAGCACAAGTGTGTGGTTACCCAACGAGCCAACAACAGCAGCTTCAACAAAACTTTTAATCTTGTTTCTTTATACACTTCTTTTACAGTGTATACATCAAAACATATGTATGTTTTTTGCCATGGTTACACATAATGCTTGGATTTTAAAGAGTAAGTAATTTTCCACTGCTTAGAAAGCTAATGTTGGCAACAAGGTTTTTATCTTGAAATTTTGATTTTATGTCAGACGTTTGACCAGCTCCTCAAAAATGTCTTTATAGATTTTCTAGTTTCGTTGTATTCATTA